GATGAAATTGAGATCAATGAGTGCATGCAAGTGACAATTTATTATGGGCTTTCATGTTTGTGTATAAGACATGTTAAATGAGTTGAATTGGAAGTCATTTAAGACATGTATCCATGAAAAATGAGGCTATGAGACTCAACTACATATTTTGAAGATAAATTTGGCAAGGATTGTATGAATATGAAATTGATTCATGGAAATTAGACTTCATAATGTTGTAATTTGGTGTTTATATCATGTTAGTAAATGTGTATGTGAGCTATGAGTCATAACATGCAAGTTACATTGGCTTGAATGCAAGTTTGAAGCTCAAAATGGTTGCTGGAAAACCCAGAATTCTTTAATCCAGCTCGAGCGTGAAATGTGAGTTCTCAGAACTTTTGCAGACTTTGATGTACGCTCGAGCGGGGAGATTCACACTTGAGCGTCAGTCATATATGTCGACTCTCAGCTCGACCGTCCGAAGTCACGCTCAAGCGTAAATTTGAGGCAACCAGTACTTTTGCAGACCAAAGGGGTCCGCTCGAGCGGGGAAACCTGCGCTCGAGCGAGGAGCCCTGTTTCTAAAATTTTGAAAAGACGTTTTTTGTTTCATTTACCGTTCTCTTTCATTTCTAAGCACTCTTAGGCGTGCATTGAACATTGTAAATAGATTAAGAAGATAAGGAAGAGGCCTAAGAGGAATGTATGAGTTAAGAACGAATTGAATCATTTGTGACCCATTATGTTTCTAAAATGTGTAGGGTCAAGCACAAGGGCAAATCCACCAGCAGAACACTGTGAGTAATATCTTAGTAAAGATATTTTCAAGTATGTTACTTTTCAAATGCTACTTCTGTATAAGCTTCATGGATTTGTTGATTTGAAATATGAATGAGTATTCCATATGCCTAATTTCATATAAGATCATTTGATATATTTGAATTGGGCCAAAGGCCGTCTGACATAAATGATAGTCTGACATGAATGATTGGGCCAAAGGTAGTTGGACATGAATAATTGGGCCAAAGGCAGTCGGATATGAACAATTGGGCCAAAGGTCGTTAGACATGAATGCAAAGATGGGCCAAAAGCCGTTTGAATATGTCATTTGATATGTTTGAATACCGTGATAGGCCAAAGGCCATTTGAATGAAAAGGATCATAATCATGAATATTAAATACGCATGGATATGAATATAAAGAGAATGGGCCCGAGGCTGTTTGATACGCCTGACATGTTTGAATTGGGCCCAAGGTCATTTGATATACTTGAATTGGGCCCGAGGCCGTTTGATATGTTTGAATTGGACCAAAGGTCGTTTTGAATAAAGAGTTGGTTGGACCAAAGGTCGTTTTGCATACGGATATGATGTGTTGGACCCGAGATCGTCTTGCTTTGTTAAGATTGGTAAATCTGATGTGAACGAGAATAGTAGTTCAAATGTTTACATTATGAGTATGACTCATTTATGAATGAATCTCGTTCATTAACCTCTTTATTTTGATATTATTCACTGGGCGTTAGCTCACTCTTATTTATATGTATGTAGGTGAGCAAAGGGACGTTCAACCCCAGCCTTAGTGGAATTTAAGAAAGGAACCCAAGTTTTGTGATGTTAGCCCAGGTGCCTCACACAAGAGGCTTTGTTCATGATCTTTTGTATTTCCTTTGCTACTTTTATTGGTCATGGTAGACCGTTTATGTGTATAAGCTTTTGATTTAGCTGATTATGTGTTTGAATGATCCTGGGTATACAAGATGTTAACTACTGATATGTGGTGTGAGTTATTATTAAGTATATGTGAAATGTTTTGATATGCCATGTAAGCATAGCTCATTGGACAAAATTTTTAAGTTTGCTTCCGCATCTGGCCCCATATTATTAATTATCGATTGATATCAGGTTTGAGGCCGTAGGTTATCTCATGATTACTGGCTGGTTATGACCTTAATCTATAGGGGCAGGTTCGGGTCATGACAATGGTAGTGACCATACTCACATCCGAAGGCCGTGCAGAGGTGTTACTAGTTGTGATTGCATTGGAACTGTGTGTAAATGGCCTCTTGGGCAGTTCTTTCTCATTGTCTATCAGCCCCTGTTTCATTGCATCCTCAATTTGAACCCCTATCTCATGGAGCTTAGTAAATGTAAACAAAGGCAAGACTATCATATTCTACAATAATCTCTCTTGCAAGTTGCGGACCACCATTCTGATTTGGTCCTTTTCAGACGGCCTGATAGTCACCATAGAGGCCTTGGCCCTCCATTGGGTCACAAAGTCCGAGAAGCCCTCCTTTGGCTCCTAGCAGGTCGCTTCAAGATCACGGGTTGTGACCTCGATTTGAGTATTATAGGAGTACTGTGCGATGAAGGCCTCGGCTATTTCTTCCCAACTCCATTTCACAGAGTCTTCCAGCTTTGCATACTAGATGGCTGCTATACCCGACAGGGTTTGGCCAAAAAGTGACAACTTCTGAAGTCTAGTAAGACCCATTGGTCGTAGGATATCAGAGAATAACCGCAAATGGACCATGGGATCCTCAAA